TAAAATAAATTATATGGTCTGTGCCTTTAAGAACTAGCCTCACAAAGAAAGGGGAGTGCTCCTTCCAACCTCCCTGCTGTGAGTGAGAGATTTGGAAGAGCCTCCCTGGAGGCTTGTAAACTTAGAAAACACCTTACTTTTGCATTCTGTACCTAAAGTCTCCAGTGGCAGCTTTTGATCTAGGCACAACAAGACCCTCACTCTATTGTCTCAAAAAGGGGGCCTTAGACAAAGATATCTCAATATAGATAGACCCAGGCCAATTTCAAGTCCCCAGAAATGATGGTGCCAGCCCCAGGAACAAAAGAACAGAGTCAGGATGTCTGATGGTAACCAATTAATCCAGAGATGCCCCTCTCTGGAGATAACATGACTAGACCCCAGAGAGGAGCTGTAAAACTCCTGACAGGGCAAACAGATAAGCTAGAATAAGATAAAGTCCAGGCCCAGAAAAAACTGGACCAATTTTTGTTAGTCCAGTTAGTTAGTTAGATGGACCCTTACTAATCCCCTCCCCTCTAAGAAATTTTATGGGGTTTGCCTATAAAAACTAACTTCCCCAAGAAAGAGTAACTCTTCTCTGCCTCACTTGAGATGGCTTGAGATGAGTTCCCTGTCATGACTTGTAACAGATAAACCTTGCTTTTGCATTCTGGTATGCTCGTCCTTGGTGGTCTCTCTGAGGGTTATGATCTGGGCACAACAGTTTCCATGGTAGCCATAGACAGAATTGATTCTGGTTGGGGCTTCTTCTCTCCTTCTGACAGTGTTTGCCCTCTACCTGCTGATGCTTTCCCAATGTCATGAACAGTTAAGCAGAGGTGTGGGCTGTACCCTGTTCTCAGAGGCACAGGATCCCTTTTGGCATCAGGGTTTTCAGAAGTATTTTGAATCTTTCTGGAATTTGGCTACTCTCTGGATTTGGCCTGTATCTAAGTGATGCTGGCTTGGCTACTGAGAACTCTATTTGTGGGCTGTCTATGAGTCTGGGACTTTTCAAGGCTGGTGGTCCTTGGAGGTAGGAATGGCAAAGGAGGCTGGCTGGGTCTCACCATGTTTTGGTGTTTGTTCAGTTACCTCCATGGCCAGGTCCTCCAAGACTGGACTGAGCTGAAGGAAAATGTACATGTTTTGAGACTGAAGAACAGACTGCCATGGAAGGAGCAGATTGAAATGCAAGAGTCCTGTGAGGAGCTGAAGAGGCAACTGAAGGAGGCTCAGGAGATGATCTGTGACCCTTCTGCTGAGCAGCAGCAGGTAGGCTGAGACAGTGGGGGCAGGTGCCCACCTGTCCAACCATAAACATAGAGTCACCCATATAACCATCCACCCATCCATCCAGACTCCCACCTACATACCATCCAAGTGTTGATTTCTGTGATCATTCCCAAGTATTTCTGGAGAGTTTTCCTCTTTCAAGAATCTGGATAATTGACAAGCAACCCCTCCTGCTCTGCTAGAAGATGCAGTACATTGAGAACTGGGTCAGTCACATATCACACACATATATGTCATTATGATCAGAGGACTGCTATGCAGGGAGCTACTTAGGGAACAGCACAAAGCTTTCATTGATGATGCCAGTGGCCTGTGGCTCATTTGCTTTGCAGAGGTCATGTGAGATCACAGGGTAGGAAGCAGCCTGCAAGGACTAGAGTCCAGTGCCAGTGCCAAGTGAGTGGTTCTCATTGTCAATGTTTTGTGTGGCATGTGGTCTTCTCCTTTCTTCCTGCATCCCAGTGTGCTCTCTTCCTTTTGCCAAGCTCTTGGTTCAAAGTGACAGAAGCCTGAGTACCACCTTGTCAGCCCTTTTTCTAGGCATGGTGCTGGACAGTTCTCTCATCCTGGGGCTTCCAGTCTGGAGCTGACTGGATGACCATAGATGTAGGAGGCCTTTGACAGGCTGAGGGTTGGGGTGACAGATTTGAAGCTTCAAGAAAACATTTTCTCCTATCACCTCAACATAGTGTGAATAACTTGTGTGTTCTCCTAGGAATCTTTAGTCCCCAAAGGATGGATAGCAGTGCTGTGGGTCTCAGTTGAAACACCTGATGTGCATATTTTAAATTCAACTGTTCCTACAGCATGATGTCCTCACCATTGTTTTCTGCTCACTTCCTATTTTTGCGGTCTGTGTGTGATCTATGCAGGCCTGTGTAAATGTGGACATCGGTTTGTAGGTTCAGAGGCTACATAATGAAATCCCATGTTGTCATCTGTTGCTCACTCCCTTATTCCCTTAGAACCCAGGTTTTCACTGAACCTGAAATTTTCTGTTTGGGCTAATCTGGCTCCCAGCTCTCTTTAGATCTCCTGTCCTCCAAGGCAGAACTTCTCTCTTGTTTTGTCTTATCCAATGTTACAAGTTTAAATTGCTCAGAAAGAGGAAGGACATATTTGCTTTCTCTTTTGTTTATTTCCTTTTATTGTTTTATACCAATGTGTTTTCTAATAAATAACAAAACCAAGCAATGCAGCTATTTTAACAATAAACAGCAGGCTTCTTTCACTGCCCAGAGCTAACACCACAGGAAATGTTTGGTCTGTCTCTGGCTTCTCATCAGAAAATCCCACAGTGCATCTCCTTGCTGACATTGTGTTGCTGACTATATCATGTGCATGACTGTGTCTCAGAACAGATTCCCTCTCATAGTTGTGCAGAGTGCTGAGTTCCTGAAAAGCATGGCAGGTGATGTCACTGGCCTCCTTCTGACTGCCATTGGGCTGAATTCATATCATATGCATTGTCATCTGTTGACAACTTCCTGGGTGTTGACCATGGGTCACTTTCTTTCTCTTGGGCTATCAAGGTCATCTGTGGAGGAGCCAGCATAAGTTTAGTGAAGAGACTATGAGGGGTGAACTTGGAACCTCTGGGATCAGGGGGTTTTGTGATGGATAAAGTTTATTCAAAGAAAAGTTAAGTGCAGGCCGGGGTAGCAGAGTCTTGCTGGGTCTAAGAGCCCTGTAGACAGCATAGAGGACCCACTACCTCTATATGCATCAGAAAAGGTGCTGCAAGGCAGCAATCCTCTCTCACTGACCATACTAGCTTCAGGAAGTAGTGTGTGTGTGTGTGTGTGTGTGTGTGTGTGTGTGTGTGTGTGTGTGTTGGGGGTGTGATATGTGTGTTATGATTTTCTGTACATCTCTGTATGTGTGTGTGTGAACTTCTATATGTGTGTTTGTGTCTGAATACTGTCTATTGTTTGCACAGTAGTGCTCCTTTGTACCTGTGTATGTGACCATGTGGGTGAGTGTGTATGTGTATGTGTTCCCATGTTTCCTTATGTATAGGGGTAAGTATTCGAGTGTGTTTGTGAGTACAGGTGCTTATATGTGCAAGTGTGTGTTTGTATGTATGGAATTGTAACTTCATGTGTGTGTGTATTTCTGCATATTTGTATGCTCACTTACTCATCTTTAATGATGATGGAGTTCAACTTTGTTGAAAAAGTACTGTGCCCACTCACTTGCCATCCATCAAATATTGTATGCTGCTGCCCATCTTTCTGCATGTCCACCTTGTTCACTAGGCAAAGGGACACAAAAACTACTGCAACTCAATGGTTTTCAGGTATTTGTAGAGGCAAAAATATTTATCTGCACAGAAATCCTTGGAGCAAATCAAAGGAATGTGGTAGATTAAGGTGAGAAGGCAAATCAAGGTGTCTGAGAGGCAGGATAGGTTTGTGTCTCTTCTCTGCTCTGGGTGAATGGTGACTGCACACTCAATGGTCAGGTGGGTTGCTGTGTCGTCTCTGTATCCTGTTTGTCCTCATCCACATTGTCTGCTACCACTTGCTTTACCCCTTTCCCTAACCTTGGCTCAGTTAACCTTTGCCTTGGAGCTTGGGCTGCATGTTAGTCCTTGAGAGATTCTGACTTGCAGTGTGCGTCCAGCTGCATTTCAGTCCAGCAAAAGTCCTCTAGCCATGCTGTGGTTTGAGAATGGGGCTATCTCAGTGTACCCCACTTAGGCTCCTTAGGGTCTAAATCACTCCCCATGTGCCGTGTCTGTAACACTCAGTAACTGCTTTTTTCAAGGTTGATTCCTCTGAGTTAAAATCAGCCTCATGGAGGGTTTGGAGAAATGAGGCCCCTCAGACATTGCTGGTAGTGTAAAATGGTACAGCACAGTGAGAAGCTACACACAAGTCTTCAGTGTTGAATTGCAATCCCAGGTGACCCAGTGATGCCAGAATATGAAGTAGGTGTCCATAGAGAAGCTAGGGGACCTGAGGGTTTTTTCAGCATTCCTGAGAGTAGCCTCATGATGCCCATCATTCAAAGAGTGAAAAAGTATAATGTGGTCAGGCTCTTTCATGGAATATTCTTCAGCATGAAATAATACATAAAATCATTTGGCACTAATTTAGTCAGCCATTTGTTACTCAAACAAATCCCTGGCACAATCGCCTCAAAGGAAGGAATTGTTTCTTTTGGATCCTGGTTATGGAGATTTTCTAGTTTCCTGAGCTCTTTGCTTTTGGTCCAAAGTGAGACAACCTGTGGTACAGGGAGCCCCTTTTGAAGGAAGTTGCTCAATTTGGGGGAACTGGGAAACAGTGAACAAGCCCAGAGGGGTAGTCCACGACCATCCAGTAGTCCTTTGCTGGGGAACATTCCTATACTGCACAGCCTGGGGAACTTCCTAAGCAGGGTTAGTTAATGGACGGGGACCCCAGAGGGCCACCTGTCTGTGCGTTAGGTTGCAAATAGGCTCTTCAGTGACTGAACTGCCTCTCTCCCATGTTCACTGTCTTCTCTCTTTTAACAGGTTTATCTTTTCATTAGTATCCCTGGTGGTTGCTCCTTATGTTAGTATTAACTGTGGAGCTAAACATGTTACTGCATTACAGTGTGCTTGTATGTGTGCATACATGTACTTGTGTCTGTTCATGAATTTATGTGTGTGCATGTGAGTGAGCTAGCCTCTACTGAGAACATAATGTTCTAATGAACAGGATCAAGAAAGCCTGGATGAGCAGCAGAGACATACAGGCCCAGCGCCGGCCCACAGAGGTAGACGGGCCCTGCGGCGGCGGCCAACAGGGACATACAGGCCCGGTGGTGGCCCACAGAGGTAGACAGGCCCGGCAGCAGTGACAAGCAGAGGCAGGTAGGCCCGCAGCTGCAGCCGGCAGAGAAATACAGGCCCGGCGGCGGCAGACAGGCCCAGCGGCAGCTGACAGGGACATACAGGCCCGGCGGCGGACCGCAGAGGTAGACAGGTCTGGCAAGCAGTCGCAGCTTGGAACAGGGACGCCTCTAGCCCCAACACCTGGGGAAGAAGCTATCTCCGTGGGACAGAACCAGAACAAATCTGAATACTCCGTCTGAGGACAACCCAGGCCCAGCTGCTGATCCTGCAAAACCCAACAACTTGGAGGTGTTGGTAAGACTACCCTGGCCTCAGCTGAAATCCATCCAGGAGAGGATTCAGATCCCTACAGTTTGAAGTCTGAAGAAACAAGATCAGCTGAGGAGTTGAAAAATGAACAAAACGTGACCTGGGAACACAGAAGAAGGCGCTGCCCAGCCACCAAACCAGATCACCAGAATCATAAGTATATACTTCACTGACTGAGATCAGCTGCCCCTGAAG